ATTTATAATAATAAAATTCCATAGTCAAGAATACACTTAAAATTCTAACTGTATGTTCTTTTCATTTTTAATGGCGACTTCTCTTATTTGAAAGTACGTGGAATTAAATCCACAGCCCCGTAGTCAAGTTGTTTTTCCCGCCTTTTCTACACATACAATTATAGAATGTTCTGGAAATATTTAAAGCGAACTGGATTGGCTGACAACATTTCTTGGAAGCTCCGCCTTTCCAGAGGCTATAAACGGACTCGCAAAGGCAGTGGCGGCTGGTAGCTAAAATGAGTGGGGGAGCTGTTCCAAAAAAAAAAAAAAAAAAAAAAAAAAAAAAAAAATTAACATTTGTTTTAAAATTGTGTAAAAGGAAACTTAACATGTATAAAAATAAAATTTATTTTGAAACTTCATGAAATCTTACAAGGAAAAAATAAAACCTTTTTTAATTATGTTAACCTAAATTGTTACAGTTCAAACTTTATCTAGTCATATAAAATTGTAATCCATTCTTCTTATTTTAATTTGCGCGAAAAGATGAATAATTTTCTCCTTGATCTCTCGATCACAACTGAGGAAATTTTTCTTTATTGAAAGCAATACTAGGGCATTTAGTCTTCCTGAATTCCTAGTGCTTCTTAGAAAAGTTTTCATTTTTTTTTCAGTGTTGAAAAGCAGCGTTCTGCCTCTGATGTAGTCATGGGAACTCTCAAGAGAATTTTTATCAGTTTCGTAATTTCACTAAAAACATCATCTAGATTGTTTTCGAAGATAAATTTCAGCAGCTCAATTAATTTGCAGTATTCATGGATATCAGACCTACAATAGAATACTTTTAGCTCAGTTTCAAGCTTTTCTTTGTCAGTCATTGGATATGTTTCAGTGGTCAGTACTATTTCTTCTACAGGATGTTCATTCCTAAAACTAGCAAAGCATTTCTTGTTAAACAATTTAGCAGCTGCTAAGTGTTTAGTGGAAGAATATTAGTGCATTATATCAGTACACAGTATAAAGTCACATATTTTCTTAGCTTCTGCCATCTCTGAGTTTCTTAATTCTAAAATAGCAGTTTTGAAATTTGTTATATATTCATTAACTTCTCACACTAATTTCACACACTTATTTCTCTGGATTGCATTTAGTTGTATATTATTTCAACATCAGGCATAATCTGATAAAAAAGCTCTAATCATCACTTCAAATTATCATCATTTAGATATTTTAAAATTCCTGTTGCTTTTGCAATAGTTTGATCTGCATTTGATGTTGATTGAATTTCAGCAAGGTAATTTTTTTAAGGTTGCAAATTTTCATGAACTCTGTTTATGGTCCGTATGATGAAGGAATACTACACGCACGGAGTAGAAAGAAATCAGATTTCCAACAACACGCCAGAATTTTGGCACTGCAAGAGTGACAGTGCTCTTCTCTCTCCCTTGGCTCGCGTACCTGCTTTCTGTGTGCGCATGCGCAGAACAGCCAAACACTACATCACTGGAACTGTGAAACGCGCAGTTCCAAAGACTTTCGTACCTTTTTCACATTCTGGGGGATGGCTACTGACATTAAGCTTAAAGATTCTGTATTGTAAAAGTGAAAAGAAAGAATTAAAGACTAAAAGGGCTCACTATATTAAATATTAAACATAATAATAAGTGGAATAGTGGGTGCTGCAGTTCCACAGTGCTCATTACGAGCCGCCACTGCGCAAAGGAATATTGGGGGCTTTTTCTTAAATGTCACGATGCAGTAAACTTCATACGAAAAGTTATTAGTAATTCTTTTTATTTACTCCGGATATCTGATTTCGTAACTGCTATTACTCCTGAATAATAATAAATGGATCCTGTTTTTTTTTTAACTTATCGTCCGATAATTTAAGCTACGACTAAAGCTGGTACATCATGTACAGTGGTGGCCAAAATTGTGGACACTTTTGGAAATTTTTATGTTTTTGAAATCTGTATGCTTATATAAAACGTCACGTTTCACAAAATGCAAACTTGTATATATTATTTTAAAGAGAATGTATTACTGAATTCAATTCAAAACACAAAATTCAATTATTTGCAATACAAAAAAAGTTAAACGATAATAGTTATCGATATACATTAGATAGTGATGATTCAGTGATAGTTATCTGCAATCATCATTGCAATCTATTCCTTAGCAATCATCACTATTGCAAAATATGTTTGACTCTATATTTCCTTAGCAAAAATGTAAAATCATTCAATAACTAGAAACAATAATAAAGTAGTAAAAGCAATCTCGTAAAAACTAAATGTTAAAATTACAGTTTGAGATGATATAAAAGTCAAAAATTAGGCAAATGTACAATTAAAATAAATAGCCTAAAAAACATTTATATGAGGGAGTCAGAGAATCTAAAATTCCAAGAGTGAGAGTCATTCATTTTCCCTTACCGACTCCACAGCTCTGGTAGAAATCATAATTTTAATGAGATTGTTTTATATAGAGAGAACATAATTGTAAATTCATTTTTTATTTTGCATTATATAGCACAAGTAATAGGCGATTCATTACTAATAATTACCATTTATCCTAAATTCAAACATAAATGTATATATGGGGTATTTTCAAGTATGGTAAATATTAAAATTAAACCTAAAAACCAACTGAAGTGCATAATGGTATAATTTTAAATTGTAATTGAAGTGTCATCTTTTCTTATTATTGAAACAATAGTTACATATATCTTATTGAACATAAAATTAACTGATTTTTTTTGGCACACTATACTTATATATTTATGTACTAAGTACTAAGTACCTATCAGTACTTAGTAGGGTACCCTTTATTTTTTATTACAGCTTCACATCGACGTTTCATTGAGCTGACAAGAGTTTTAAGCTCTTCTTTCGTTATTACATGATGCCAGGAAACAATTATAGCCTCAATTAGTTCGTTTTATTTGATGGGCGCCTCATTCGGACAAGAGTTTTCAAACAGTGCCACAAATTTTCGATAGGATTGAGGTCAGGACTGTTTCCTGGCCATGACAACAATTTAATGCTCTTTGTACAAAACCACTCTTTCGATATTTTGGCCACGTGGCAAGGAGCAGAATCCTGCTGAAAAATAAACGAAGCATTGTTGGGAAAGAGATCTCTGATGGAAGGTAGAAGTTTTGGTTCTAGAATAGTGTCAGTGTATTTTCTGGCATTCAGTGTCCCATCGATGACATGAAGGCAGTCAATACCATCTGCTTACATGCATGACCAAATCATAACACTAACTGGGTTCTTCACAGTTGCTTGAATGCAGTCAGGATGTAGCTCTTCTCCTATTCTACGTCTTACATATTTTCACCCATAACTACCGAATAACGATATCTTAGTTTCATCACTCCATGTAACTTGTGACCACTGATCTTCTGTCCAATTAATGTGTTCCTTAGCCCACTGTAGTCTTTTTTTTTTTTTTTTTTTTCCGTTGCTGAAATTTAAGATAAGGCTTGTTTCGTGGAATTCTACCTCTCAGTCCAACATCTGTTAATCTTCTCCTGATTGTTCTTGAACTGACAGAAACACCAGCATCATTCAGATCACTTCTGATGGCCGCTGATGACATTTTTCTATCTTGGACATCTTTCTATCTTCTTTTCAAGTATGGAGACATAGTCTTTTTATTCTTCTGTCATCAATAGATGCGGTGCACCTTTTTCGGCCTTTTCATTCTTTGTTTTTTATTGAATTTGTCTCCTGATATCGTAAACAAAACTTTCGGACTCCAGATGTAGTCACTGAACCACCCACCTGTCTTGCAATTTCAGCATAGGAAAGACCACTTTCTTGTAACACAATAATATTACATCTCTTTCTAGGTGTCCAATCTACTCTTTTATTTGATGTCATTGCTTCTTGACTAAATATTAAAAAATTTATACAAAAATTCCTACTTGTAATTGCAGTGTATAAGAAACAGATCCTCCTTCTACAGAACAAAGCAAAATAATGAATTGTTTCAAGTGTAAACATGATGTCAGCTTCATTTGATTAGTTCTCAGAACAAGAACAGTGATTGGCCAGAAAAACTAGACATTACGAACCACTTCATAACTGTGTTTTTTATTTATATTAAAGTACATATAACTTTTTTTTTGTATTGCAAATAATTGAATTTTGTGTTTTGTATTGAATTCAGTAATAAATTCTCTTTAAAATGATATATACAAGTTTGCATTTTGCGAAACGTAACATTTTCTATAAGCATACAAAGTTCAAAAACATAAAAATTTCCAAAAGTGTCTACAATTTTGGCCACCATTGTATATATATCTATATTAGGAGTAAGAGGAATGTTTAAAAGCTTGTGCTAAAAAATATGTTTGACTCTATATTTCCTTAGAGTCTCTAAAATTCCAAGAGTCAGAGTCATTCATTTTCCCTACCGACTCCACAGCTCTGGTAGAAATCCATAATTTTAATGAGATTGTTTTATATAGAAGAACATAATTGTAAATGCATTTTTTATTTTATTTTGCATTATATAGCATAAGTAATAGGCAATTTATTACTAATAATTACCATTTTATCCTAAATTCAAACATAAATGTATATATGGGGTATTTTCAAGTATGGTAAATATTAAAATTAAACCTAGAAACCAACTGAAGTGCATAATGGTATAATTTTAAATTGTAATTGAAATGTCATCTTTTCTTATTATTGAAGCAATAGTTACATATATCTTATTGAACATAAAATTAACTGATTTTTTTTTTTTTTTTTTTTTTTTTTTTTTTTTTTTTTTTTTTGTGCACTATACTTATATATTTATGCAGGTATCATGCTCTATGGACTGTAATTATGTTAATGTATCCCCCATGACTTATATCATTGTACCTTATTTAAGTATTTTAAAGTAAGTTAAATTATGGTGCTTATATTGTGTGTATATATATATATAGATTTGTACAACTACTAGATGCTTCCCCCCCTTAAAATGCTTCTTTAATTAATCTGCGCTTTTTTATCTTTTGATAGATTATCTACCTAACAAATTGTCATCATTTAGAGAGGCAAGACAAACTCTAAATGGTTGCACACATTATTACCAAGATCAGCCACAAAATCCCCTTGGCATTTCAAATCAGTTTAAACAACAGTTCCCTCAACTTAATTCCCGTGATAATAATATAATTGTAAGTGTGATTTCAGTTCTCTCTCTGTCTCTTTTTTTTTTTTTTTTTTTTTTTTTTTCGAGGAAGGTTAAATTGGGTATTGAAATTTATTTGTATTTATGTAAATAATTGTATTATGTAATTTATGTAGGAAAGTCTTAGAATGAAGAAAAATTGGGATGAACGTTTCAGAAATCTTGTCCCTGATATGCTATATCACTTGAGTTCTAGAAATATTCAAAAAAATCAGACTCAAAGTGGTAAGATTTTTTTTTTTTTCCAAATATTGTTTCTAAAATACGTAAAAATTGTTTTAATTTTCATATTATATGTTTCTTGCCTGTCTGTGAAATTTTAGGGTTTCTTTTAAATGATATTTTTACACTTTTCTAATCTAATATTTAATTATTTTTCTTCTGCAATTTATATATATATAACCATAATAATAGACACGATTTTATATGGGGTAAATGGTGCTGATTATTTTTCTCTTAGAGGAAAAAACTCAATATCAGATAGAAATTTATGAAAATTTAAATTTGTATTTTTTTATAATATATATGTAACTATAAATATGATTTTCAGTAATATGCTGCATCAGTGTATTTTTTAACTTTAAATGATATGAAAAATTTAGGTAGTTAATTTATTGATCCTTTCTAATTCATAAAAGCTATTTTCACAACTGTCAAATTAGTGTGATTTAATTCAAATTTCTTTGCGCATTGTTATGCTTAAAATCTAAAAAGCCGTTATTTGTTAGAAATGTTAAACCTTATATTTGTTTTAATGAAATGAAAACTTGTATTATAGAAAATATTAAGTTTCATTAAGTAAAAATTTGATAACATTTTAACATCAAAACTGTTGCCATTAAAAAAATGTAATGCGAGTAATTTTTTTGTGAACCCTAGATATCCCAGAATAGTAATATATTTGTGGAATATTAAAATACATGGGTTTAGAATTTTGAATGAAAACAAGTAATGTATGGGTTATGGTAAAAGTAATAAATTCTGTGATTATATAAAATTACCAGTGATTATACATAATCACCACTAAATTTGGTAAATATGATAAATTATTTCATATTTATCAAATTTACCGATTAATTTATAAAATCCCTAACTCATAATGAGGAATGTGATAAAAGTCCCTAACTTTACGAAAATTCTATTTCATATTTATCAAATTTACTGGTTACTTTATAAAATCCCCAACTCATAATGGGGAATGTGATAAAAGTCCCTAACTTTCCGAAAATTCGTTCAGTTTGCGCAACTGCTTGGCTTCTATCAACACGTGACAACCACGCCCTTGATTTCGGAGCAACTTGCTCTGAAACACGTGATTTCAGTAGTTCCAATTTCGTTGCATGTAGACATTTTCTCGCTACCCTCTCGTAAAAATTAAAACATTGAATAATAGCTGATATGCTTGAGCGTTTTAATTCCAAATTACTTAATATTATGGATACTAAGAAAACAAACAGTGGTTTTCTGACAAAGAAAGATATGATGATTTGTGAAAAAAAGTGAATAATAGTAAAAACAAAAGTAGTGGGAAAAAACCAGAAGATTATCAGAGACTGAAATGATATGATGTAATAAAAGTAGGGAATGTTGAAAAACTTATCTTTCCCATAAGGGAAGACAGCTCCAATGTTAGATTTTGCATGTACTTTGAAGAAATTTTTACCATAATTCATGAGGTACACTTGTCAATAGGCAATGGTGGTAGAAACAGGATGTTAAAAAAAGTCCAAAAACATTACTACCGAAGAAGTCATGATTTACTTAAATTTGTGTAAAAGTTGTCCAAAAAAAAAAAAAACCAAGGTACCTAGGTACCTAAGAAAAGACTTGTTGTTAGGCCAGTGGTCTTTAATGGACATGCAGTCACAGGTCTTTCAAGAGATGAACTCAAGATGCCAGGTGGGCCTAATGGACATGCAGTCACAACCAGATAATGACTTTAAGTTTATATTTGTCTATCAAGACCACTTGACAAAGTTCGTACAGTTGCGTGCCCTAAAGCAAACATGTAGGACAGGTTGCTTGTCATCTAATTGATATTTTTACTATATTTGGAGCCCCTAGTGTCCTGCAAAGTGACAACGGTCATGAGGTTAGTAACAAAATCATAGAAGAAGCTTGTGCAATGTGGCCGGATTTGAAAATTGTGCATGGAAAACCTAGGCACAGCCAGATTAAATTTTATTAAAAAGTGTAGCTTATTTAACTGACTTATATATAAATAGAGATCCCACAGACAATAGATGTTAATGATTTAGGCAATCATATAAACTCAAAAGCAGTCTGTAAATATCAGATTATTGTCTTAGTTCCCAAAGAAGAGTTTTATCATTAAAAAGTTTAAAAATTTTTGTTAAATGTAGAATTTTAAGATGTGAAAACTATACTAATATTTCATTTCAAAATATCAAAAATGTGTGTTATTATTTAAACAAATGAAAAATAGAGATATGTCTTAAGACTGTTATTGTATATGTGAGACAAAATTTCATCAAAGCCTTGTTGTAGATGATAGTGTGTATAAAAAAAGTAAATTTGAAACTTTTTAGAATCAAACTAATTATAGAATGCTAGAAATATATTTTATGTATGACATTCATATAAAATAGTACTTGTTACAAAATATTTGATATTGTTCTCTAATCGGGACTGGATCCAGAAATGTATTTATGCACATATGTATGTATGTGTATGCACACACATACATTCATACATACCTATATACATGCAAACATGAACACATCCATCCATTTCTGAATATGGTCCTGGTAATAGAACAGTTCCAAATATTCTTAAGAAGTGTCGTGAAATGGCTTTTTACTCTGGATTGAACAGTACTGAAGATACATGAAAATGTTATGCATCACCAGCTGCAACAATGTCTTTATTGAAGGCAAGATTTTCTTACAAAGTGAAAATAAATTCTTCAAATAGTTTTTCTTTGAAGTATAATTTTTTTTAAAAAAACAATTCTGTTATCACATGGTTTCAGGAAAGTAAATGTAGGCAATTAATTGAAGGTTTCTTGTGTTTAAGAGCTCCCAATGTGTTAAGCAAGGTATTTACAAAACTTATAATTTAGAATAAACAAACTTTTTTAAAATAATGGAAATGAAACTGCATATTAGAAAAATTTTTAAAAAATGAAGAAAATCTACAAATTACTTAAATCCCAACAAAGTAAATGTATGTTTTATTCTACTGTAACTCTAAATTGAACTCTGTAAAGTAAAACTTTCACTCAAGTCTTGGTCCGTAAATGGCTGAATGTTAAAATTGTTGAATGCTGATAGTTTAACCTGGGTTCAAATACTTGCAGATGGTGCCTGTTGTATGGAAATTTTCATAGTTTCCTCTATTGCAGTGTGGTGCAACCCACGGCCTTCTTATTCATTTTGTTGGCACTTTTCCTTCTTACTCGAAAAAAAAAAATTAATTAAATATTTAGAAAACAAAAGACCCTTCCTACTGCTTTAAATAATAATAAACAGAATAAATCGTAAAGTAAAACGTAGTAGTAAAGTAAAAATTATAAAATAAAGTGTCTTCAAGGGATGGTGAGTTTATTTAAAAGATATGCTATAAAAATGGCATCTTCATTTAGACTTAATAAAATAGCTAGAAATTTTGAAACAGTGTCCTTGTCCGATCAGACAGTAAGTAGAAGAATTAAAGATATTGGTAGTGAAGTTTCAGATACTCTCAAGGGCATTTTGGGAAAATGTGAATTTTACTGTCTAGCTCTAGATGTCAGCATAGATATAGCTGAAATCAGCCAACTCCTTATATTTGTCAAAACAATAAATGAAGAATTTGAAATTCAGGAAGAACTAATGGAATTAAAATCACTAGAAACTAGCACTAAAGGTATTGATATTTTTAACGCACTTCATAATGTCATTTCTAAATATGGATGTATCAGAAAATGCTCTGGCATTGCAACAGATGGAGCTAAAGCAATGATTGGTTGTAGAACTGCGTGAGTAGGACTGTTTAAAGAAAAAGGAATAGATTGTTTGTTTTTCCACTGCATTATCCACCAGGAGGCTCTCTGTGGAAAAAATATAAGGCTCAGTAAGGCAATGAAAATTGTTGTATATATTGTAAATTTAATAAGGGGAGACAAAGCCCAGAGACATAGAGCATTTATTGCATTTGTGGACAGTTTGGATGCTGAGTATGATGACATTTTATTGTAAAATGGAAGAAATCCAGTTTTTAAATAATCTTGTTCTTCTGACAGATTTAATAGCCCATCTAAATGCTACAAACTTGAAACTACAAGGCAGAAAACAAAATATATCCCAGCTTTATGAACATATTGAAGGCTTTCACAAAAAACTTAATGTAATGCAAAGTGCACTGAAGGCAAATAAAATGGCACGTTTCCCATTTCATCAGCAGCTGGAAGAAGAAGATGACACAAATTTTACTATGTTTCATGAAGTAATTACTGATATCAAGAAAGAGTTTCAGGATTTTGACTCTCTAAAAACAAATCTTTCATTGTTAAACAACCCCCATAGAGATTGAAATAAGTGCGACCTTCAAATGGAAATTTGTGGTCTTCAGGTAGATGCATTCTACGAGGCTAAAAAGTGTGATGTCACTAAATATTTCTCGAAATCGATTTCTAAAGAATGTTTTCCCAAACTGCATAAATTCTCTTTGCAAATGTTATCGCTTTGTGGCAGTACATATCTCTGTTTTTTCTGTGCTTGAAAGTGCTTCACTGGAATCGAGCCTGAGACTTTGTGTTATTGAAATTACAGTGGACATTGATAAACTTGTACCAAAACAAGCAGTGCCAATCATCACATTGAGTTCTAGATTGTAAAATAAAGTTACATATTAAACTAGTAATTTATATGTAATTCATTTTCTTTCTTTAATGTCTCTGGCCCTCACTCTCGTATACTAAGGGCCCTCGGGTAACTAAAGGTTGGACCACACTGCTCTGTTGTAATATGGATATGCATATGTTTCCCTTAAATAAAGTCCTCCACACTGGCATCCCTCCCCCTTAGGGAGATAGCCCTTGAGTATTTGCCATAATTTAAATAATCCAGTCCAATCCTAATAGAAGTTTTAAAAAAATGATTTTGTAAATAAAAGGTCTAACTATGCTTTTATTAGACTGAGTAATTTCCATGGTAAACTCTGAATATCATGAATTTTCCAGAAAATGGGGAAAACATTTAAAGGTTTTGAAAGTGCAAATAAGGATTTCAAATTGAATTCTATTTAGTAAGGTTTTGTAAGTATTAATAAAAAAATAGAGTTTTTGTGATGATAATTGTACATTTTTTAATGTTTATTTTGCCAATAATTTTATATTTCTATTCTTAAACAGCTGTTTCATTGTGTGTAAACTTTGTAGTTTTTATAATTGTGTTGGATGTATATTTAATATTTGCATTTCTTTTTTTCTTTGTATATTTTATTTCCTCACTGCTTAATTTTATGTTATGATATTTGCAATAATCTTGTACTGGCAACATGCTTTATTTTACTATTAAGTTTGTGTGAATGGCAACAGTTGTTCATGTTTTAGTTTCAGTAGAATAGCGTTCTTAGCCGCACTGCACTGCAGGCAATTTTTCTCTTAAATATTTATCTTTTAGAATAGCAGTAAAGTTTATTATACAAAGCTGATGCTTTTTAGTTCAAGGCAACTATTTGGTTCCCCAGGTGAGGCATTTAATGCTATTTAATACGTTATTATTATCTGCTTTAGAACTGTGTTTAATGAACCTTTTTAAGTACTGGTACTGCAAATCGTCTGCGTGACGTCAGAAAGATAAATGGAAATATTTTTTGCTGCTTAAGTATCTTGTTGAAGTTATTTGTGCTTATTAATCATTATTCATGGTAATAATGACAGAATTAAGTGAAGCTGATCTTAAAAGATTAAGAGGACGATCGAAATCTACCCTAATGTGGCTTCACAATCGTTTCAGTAATCAGTTAAGAATTAAAAGTACGATTAGAAAGAATTGAACAAATATTTAAGGAATTTGATCAATATGATGCTGCTTTACCCGAAGATGCTTCTGAAATTGCTGAATTCGAAGCTAAATATTTTGAAACGAAAGTAATGTATCAATCCGCCATTGAATCCGTAACGGCCAGAATTTCGATCCCACTGTCGATTTCAAATCCCACTGCAGTTGAGGCTAGCTATAAGCTTCCACGTTTAAACATTCCAAGTTTCAATGGTAAATATACTGATTGGCTTAATTTTAAAGATCTGTACGTGGCGACAGTTCATACCAATCAGTCATTAGCGAAAATTTAGAAATTCCAATATTTGATAGGACTTTTAACAGACGAACCAGCTGCTATTAAGCACATTCCAATTTCCGAAACTACATACGATGAGGCTTGGGACAAATTGATGAATCGTTATGATAGAAAAAATCAAATTGTTATGTCACTTGTCAGAACATTTCTTGAGCAACCCAAAATTACTAGCGCTGATTCTGTTAATTTAATCTAAGAAAAAACTATCTGATACATTTGATGAAGTTATTCGTGGATTAAAATCTCTTGGCGAAAAGGCTTCGTCTAGAGATGTTTGGCTAATTTATTTTTTTTTAAAAAAGGTCGATCCAGAAACTCGCCATTTATGGTCACAAAAAAATGGTGAAGAAGAATTTCCTACCTTAGAATGTTTTTTAGAATTCTTAAACTCAAGATGTGTTTCACTCGAAATGTTAAACACTCATAATACTAAAAAGCGAGTGTTGCATAAAAATCAGTGCTCTGTTTTGAAGAATGTTTCACATAATAATAAACATTCTGTTTTAAAATGTCAGCATTGCAATGGTTCTCATATTTTATCAAAGTGTTATAAATTTAAAGGTGCAGATATTACGACTAGGAAAAATATCATTCGGAAGAATTTATTATGCTTCAATTGTTTCGGAAATCATCAATTAAAATTTCATCAGTTAAAGTTCATCGCAGAATGTGTGTTCTATTTGCAAAGCAAAACACCGTACTTTACTGCATGAAGATATTAAAAGTAATAACGTAGTTGTGTCAAATTCATCTCCATCTGATGAACAAATTTCTAATTCAGACGAACAAAATAATATTTCGAGTTTTTCTATTCAGGGTCAGAAGTACTTCATTTTTACCAACGGCGGCAGTGGCAGTAATAATTTACGATTCTACTGCTGATCAAGGTCATGAATGTTGTCATTCTTTTTGATAGTGGAAGTGAAGCTTCTTTTATCAGTGGAATCATTTATTCGGCTATTATTAAATATACGCAGACAAAATGCCTCGTATTTGTGCATAAAGGGACTTGGTGATTCTGAAGCAGCTTTGACTCGTGGTTATGTAAATGTAAAATTGTTTCCAAAATCTGAGTTGAATAAAAAAAATGGTGTTTTAATACAAGCATATATTCATAAAAAAATAACTTCGCATTTGCCTTCAGTAAAGATTGACAGCAAAGACCTTGATTATTTGAATTCAATTAATCTTGCAGATCCGAATTTCAGTACACCGAAGCAAATAGACATGATAATTGGAGCTGACTATTTCTTTTCTCTGCTTCAGCCAGGGCAGATTGTTGGCTATAAAAATGTAATTGCACAAAATACTATTTTTGGTTGGATTGTATCCGGCAGAATTAAAACAGAAGACAAATTTATTTTCACTTTGTTTAAGAAATTCTGTATCGTGGTAAGTTTTTGCATTATGCAACAATTATTGCCAATTCTGATTTCCCCTTCCCAGATTTGTGCTGATGTAAATTTTATTTATTTTGTGATACTTGGAAATAAGGCTTTATCCTATTAAAATCACTTTGTTAGGGAGCATTTTATGCATTATGTATTGAAACCCAAAAATATTGATTATTTCAAATTGATATGAAGTTTTCTCATCAATTTAAAGAAAATTTCAGTAATCTTTAAAAAGCAGTTATTTAGTCTGGTATTATTACATTATAACTAAAATTAATTTCATGATGATGTTCTTGTTATAGATTTAGTTTTAAATAGTAAGTTTTATATGTTAGTTCTCAAAGTTAGTTTTTATAGTATTATCTAAACAAAAGTAATGCATGAGCATTAGAATCACTTATGACATTTTTTGTCTAATCAGAAAACTGATGAGGCTGGTTTATTGATTCACACACGATCTTACTAGTTTCATAGTTGTTTAAATAAAGTAAATATATTAGATATATTAAATAGTACAGTCCAAAGTCGTTTAATCCGGACTCGTCGGGACTTCAGCGATTCTGGATTATAGATCATTAGTTTAAATCTGGTAAAAATGGCATGCAGAAATTATAAAATTAAAAATATGAAACCATAATTTACAAAATAAAGAGCAATTATGATCTAAAGGGTATCAAAGTTTACAAAAAAAAAAAAAAGCTTAATATTTATTTGTTTACTTTATTAAACATTTCTTTCAATGTAAGTTGTTTAAGTTGCTTAGTTTTTTATGTGATAATACATTCTCTTTAATTCTATAAACAGACATTCTGCATCCCATTAGTGTTAATCGCATTAGTTTACATATTGAGGATAACGTCGATGCAACACTTAAGCGTTTTTGGGAGTTGGAAGAATTAACGTTCCAAAATCAGAAGTCAACAGGTTGAAGAAGAGTTTTGTGAGAAGCATTTTAAAGAAAACTATCGAGTAAACGAAAATGGCAGATTTGTTGTCCGACTGCCAATTTTGAGTAAAGCTGAAGAGTTAGGTGACTCCCGACCTTTGGCTATTTCCTCGTCTTCTATCCATGGAAAGAAAATTTGATTTAGACAAAGAACTTGGTAGGCAATATAAGGAGTTTATGCAAGAATACGAAACTTTAAATCATATAGTTCCAGTTGTTGAGAATGAAGAAAATAAGCAAGTATATTATCTACTGCATCATGCTGTTGTTAAACCAAGTAGCTGTACCACTAAACTTCGTGTAGTATTTGACGGATCATGTAAACTTAAAAATTCAGTTTCTTTGAACTCTGTTTTAGGGGTAGGTGCAACACTACAACGAAATATATTTTCAATATTGCAAAAATCATAACATAAAATTAAGCAGTGAGGAAATAAAATATACAAAGAAAAAAAGAAATGCAAATATTAAATATACATCCAACAAATTGTTAAATTTTACTGATAATTTAAGATGCTAGTTCAAGAGAAGATGGTAAAAAGTGTATAATTTTTCTTTTCTCTGATAAATGTTTCGTAAGACATTTGTACTCAGTGGGAAAAAGTTTTTTTTAATTGACATTTTAACCGATGTAAAAATTACTCAGGTGAAACTAGACTACCAGAGGAAAAGTATGTTCATTAAAAAAAATTTTATTTTATTTATAGGGCCAACGTGGAACCATCAGACAAGAGATATCTCATGGTTGTCAAATGAGTCTGCAATGTTAAATTCTGGCAATATCACAGAAGGTAAATTTATTTTCACTTTGTTTAAGAAATTCTGTATCGTGGTAAGTTTTTGCATTATGCAACAATTATTGCCAATTCTGATTTCCCCTTCCCAGATTTGTGCTGATGTAAATTTTATTTATTTTGTGATACTTGGAAATAAGGCTTTATCCTATTAAAATCACTTTGTTAGGGAGCATTTTATGCATTATGTTATGAAACCCAAAATATTGATTATTTCAAATTGATATGAAGTTTTCTCATCAATTTAAAGAAAATTTCAGTAATCTTTAAAAAGCAGTTATTTAGTCTGGTATTATTACATTATAACTAAAATTAATTTCATGATGATGTTCTTGTTATAGATTTAGTTTTAAATAGTAAGTTTTATATGTTAGTTCTCAAAGTTAGTTTTTATAGTATTATCTAAACAAAAGTAATGCATGAGCATTAGAATCACTTATGACATTTTTTTGTCTAATCAGAAAACTGATGAGGCTGGTTTATTGATTCACACACGATCTTACTAGTTTCATAGTTGTTAAATAAAGTAAATATATTAGATATATTAAATAGTACAGTCCAAAGTCGTTAATCCGGACTCGTCGGAGACTTCAGCGATTCTGGATTATAGATCATTAGTTTAAATCTGGTAAAATGGCATGCAGAAATTATAAAATTAAAAATATGAAACCATAATTTACAAAATAAAGAACAATTATGATCTAAAGGGTATCAAAGTTTACAAAAAAAAAAAAAAAAGCTTAATATTTATTTGTTTACTTTATTAAACATTTCTTTCAATGTAAGTTGTTTAAGTTGCTTCGTTTTTTATGTGATAATACATTCTCTTTAATTCTATAAACAGACATAATTTCTTGTTCAGTTACAAAGTTCCACTGTTCAAGTCCTATAATTGCTGTGTCGAGAATACCGACTAATTTGTCAATTGAAATTTTTTCGTTTTCAATAACCTCTGTCACTTTCTTCGCTATCGGAAGCGAATTATAAATGACGAGGCATTTGATTTAAATCATATCAAAGACAGAGTACATCGAGATGAAATACTACATTTAGTAAGCAATTATAAGCCAAATAACATAAAAACATCTACCCTGAAGATAAGGATAGCACTGACAGATCAACTTCCAATTCATTGGGCGCCCGCCCCCACGTTAAAGATAAACAAACGTTAAAGTTTAGATAAACAAAGGATATGCCTTTATCCATTTTCTGCAGCAATTCCACTTTTTGTTTAATAGACTTCAAAACATACTTTCACTTTGTAGATCCTTTACATATTAGTAAATATATATTGGAAATTCTATTTGACATAATCGAAAGTTCAAGCTTACTTTTATAAAATTACTTTAACAGTCTGCAAAAAATAATAAGCTGAATCCAATTCGAAGATTAAGGAACAATGCAATCTGCAACATTAACTGAATTAGATAATTTTAGCTTAGCTAATACCGTCCGTTATACATTAAGCGCGCATTCGTAAACGTATTTTGCACATGCATATTCGCAGCCGTAAAGGTCTTATGCACATGCGTCAATGCGACGCATGCACAGAAAGTTTGTAGCTTTGAGGTCCGGATTATAGATCATTCCGGATCATGGGTGTCCGAATTAATGACTTTGGACTGTAGTTGTTTTAAGTGCTGTAATAATGCAATGTGAAAGCTAGAAAAATTTATATATTCTTATGATATTATCCTGCTTACCGCTATTGTCTAACACATGAAAAGTGTATTTGAGCCCATCTTTACAAAATGGAATGCTCCTCTTAAACCATGATTCACCACTCCTTTTCTTCTCTGTTTGTCATCAAGGTCATGACCTTTATTTTATATCAGGTTACAAATTTTTAGTTTATTTATTTAACAATTAAATAAAATATTATTTTGGGGTCATATTTACATCATGCACATCCTCATGTAACTTCAAATTTCTTGTATTCGTGTGCATAATTTTCTATTGGATTTTATTATCTTGCTTTCTAAAAATGAAACATAATCATTTTCAAATACAAAATGATTTCAGGAAGATCCTTGTAATCACTGTGTCAGAAATGTAAGTTTATCAGACGACTGGCATTATTTGATAACATTTTATATTATTGGAACGAGTTTTTTAATGTATTGATTGAATTTATTTTTTCTAAGTAATCTCAGTAATTTTTTTGTTATTAAATTTTATGGGATTTTATATTAATTTTCATAAAAACTCATTATGTATAGAAAAAAATTATATTACTCTAAGAATAATTGTATTTTAATGCTGGAAAATAGTAAAATTATCACTTAATTAATTTAATATAATTTGAGCAATTATTTGAAAATATGAAATATAAATAGACTTTATGTAGTAAACTCTGCAAAATATATTTCAGGCAGTAATAATTTGAGAAAAGGATTTATTGATCGTTCATATATATCCCACACCTGAGCTGCTGGGTATATATAAAGCAGAATACCTGCTATATAACTCATATATATAGCAGAATTTTGTAAGCCTTTGTTTTTTAACACCAGTGTGTGTTAATTAACAGCATACAATTTCTAACATAAGTTATATTATTTATTTAATCATTTAAGTTAATCTCAGTGTTTGTTTTATTTGTGCATTGTTATAATTTTTTGAAAAAATAATAATGCTGAAAAGGAATAAAATATCTATGCTGATTATGCATATGTAAGTAAGTTTGTAAAAATTTAATTCCTTTACTTTACTTTGAAGATTTTCTAGTGTGAAAAGTTTTTTTTTTTTTTTAATATTTGCATACATCTCATTATTAAAATTTTAATTTTGATTAGGTCAAAGAGGCAGTCCTCACATTTGGATGAAAGCTCTTCAACAACTCACACTTGAAGAAAACTCTACACAGTTCAATGGCCATTCGCCTTATCCAAATCCATTTGCTCTTAGAGGTAATTTTTGCTAGCAGCTTATGTTTTTATACCATCTGCCCAGTGCTGTGAACATTGGATTGCCAGTATTAAAAGTATTTTAGTAATCATTAAGTGCTTTGGTTTATTTATGTAAAGAAATAATAAGACATTATATATATATATCTACTGTATAAGTATGAAAAGTGATATATCCACTATATAAGTATGAAAAGTGTTTTAATTATATAAATTTTGAAAAATTTGTCTCAAAACAGGTGAATTGAATATAGGTCTAATTTATTGGTTTATTCTGTCTCATGTAAAGTCATGGGAAATGTAATGCTATTCCCATATTTGTATTAATTTTTGTAAATGCCATAGATCAAAATTTCATGTTTTTTATTTCTTTGTTAAGCTGTATTTTAAAAGGTTGAGTATTCACTCTGGTTTTTTTTTTCTGTTATTATGACTTGGGTTTATTTTTCTTAATGTCTGTAAGGACTATATATATTTTTACTTCAGTTTGAAGTACATTGCATATATTCTAAATAATCTCAGCATGCTTTTGTAAGTTATTTTTAATAATTTCTTTGGTATGGCATAAAAGACAGTCTTGAAAGGGTTTTAGTTCTAATTTACATGTATCTGATTAATATGTATTATGCTGCAGCTCTTTTTGCAAAGATAAATATAATTGCATAATACATTTAAATTTTTTATGAACCTGACTGTCTTGTCTTTTTTGCAAGTGTTTTTTTGTTATGTATTAGCAATTGCATGAATTATTTTATTATGCAGGCCAATGGCCAACAGCCCAGTGCCCTCCTCCTGGTTTTGTTGCACCCTCTAGGTCCCCAGCCAACACCCCTTTCCAGCACATGCAAGTTAACCAGAGTGAGTCCGCTTTTCAAGTTTAATTTTTACGGTTTCATTTTTGCTTTTGACTGGACGCCATTGTCTTTTTTAAGTGGACTTTTGTTTTGTTTTTGTATTTTGACATTAATAAATGATGTCTTTAATAACTGTAACTGTTATGATGAATTTAACAGCATGAGTAGAAGTGTAATAAAGCCATATACCTTCAAAAACCTAAATTTTGCAACACACACATATAATATGTGTAATTATGATAAAATAACCAAATTTAATATACTATACGTATACTTGAACATTAAAATTGCCTATAAAAATGATTATGGAATTTTTAAATGAAAATTATTTTGTCATTAAAAGGGTAATCAGCGTCTTTTATTGTTTCCATTTTATTAAATAAATTTATGTAAAACAACCTTGCATGAGTTATAATAATTGAAGGTAGAATTAAAATACTGATTTTCAGACACTTTTGTTGCATTAATTTATAGAACTTTTTCATATACATATTGTATAGGAAATGAAATCTAATACTATATGAAATCTGATATCTGGACATGGGCAATTCCTGATTTGGGATTTTTCCGTTTAATAGTTTGTCATTTAAAATCTAGTAAGATGACATGTAGAAATTATAAAATTTAAAATATGAAATAATGAAGGATTTTTGAACTTAAGTGAATTAAAATTTACGGAAAGGCCCAAGATTTATTTTTGCATTATTATATATGCCTTTCAATGTAAGTTAGTTTTAAGTTGCTTTATTTTGTGTTCTACATGTCTTATTTTCTCTTTAATTCTGTATATAGACATAACTTCTTGTTTAGTTACGAAGTTAAATTCTTCAAGTGCAAGAATTGTTGCTAAATTGTCAATTGAAATTTTTTCATTCTCAGCAATCTCTTTGTCACTTTCTTCATTATTGGTAGTGATATTTTCTGATATAGAACCATACTATAGATTTTGCCATACTTGACTGACTGATGATTGAGGCATTGACATCCCAATGACAAACTCCTGTTATTATCACTTCTCCACATTTGTACACAAATTCCATTGATTAGAAAATTTTGCCTTGTGTTTGTGATGTCTAAACACCTTCTTATTTGTGGCTGTTGCTATAAAGCATAACTAGTATCTGCTATACACTATTGGCAATGTGTCTTGAGATTGGCAATTAAAGATAAGTTGTTCCACTAAATTTTGTTTTCTTTCCTCTATTGCATGTTTACTAATTTAAAGCTAATTTAGTTATTTATTATACTTATGCCTGTTTTCTGCACATGCTTAAGGCAGTCCTGAAGAAATAAATTTCCACACATACTTAACGCTTATCCTGGGCCACTGCTAAACATTTTACGGCTGATGCTGTCTCTGCATGTCTGAAATTTTAAAAATTAAGCATCTCAGTGCCTTCCCTAAATTCTAAAGATTTTGTAGTTCGTTAATTAATTGCTTAGTGCTTCTCTAAATTCTTGAACATTTGTTTGCCCTAAATTTGGCTGCTCAATGTGGCCACACCAGCCATGCGGCTTATCTGAATAACAAGTCAGTTATTCTCAATCCATGCAGCATTAAATATAATCTTTTGGCTTATGAATATCATTTACAAAATCTGTTTTATGCATATGGAAACAAAAAGTAATAAAGATTTGCCAGTTGTTTTGATTTGAGATGTATAGTATGCTGCAGGAGTCAAATTGTTGATTATACAGGTTTATACTAATAAATGATTGTTTCTTCAATCCAGGTAATATTTACTTAGTGCCAAAGTGAAATTAAGATTCTGGACTCTCCACATGTTATATTGTGAAAAACTGTAAAATGTGCATGCATACCGCTTTAAAAAAAAAAAAAAAAATGCTTGTGATCTGGAGGTCCAGATTTTAGATCATTCCAAATTTCCAGTTTTGTACTGTATTATAACTACATCTGTTAGAAATGTGGCATTTAAAAAGGCTCATGTTCTTAATATAATAGTGGGACCTGCAAGATTAATAATAGTCTTGCTTGTTATTTACTGAAAAATTCTTTTTTCGATGTTTGGAAAGTAGATTTATACATTTTGTTGTGTTTGCTGCATTTGATAAGCAGTGTAAAATTTAAATTCAATATTATAATTTAAATTAAATATTCCATATTAATGGCAGGTTATTTTTTGATTTATTCTCGTATAATTGATGATTGTCTGGCTTGGCTCTTTTAAGATAAATGTATTACTACATGATATGATAGAATGTAATAGAATTTACACTAATAAATTATATGTAGGCATTTAATGCTAATGTCATTGAAGTAGCTAATTCCTGAGATTTTAAGTTTCATTGCAGACTTAAATTGTCTCTTAAGAATTACTAGGTCTTCATTTTTTTCTTGTGTTTTACAAAACATCTGTGCGTTCTTATTATAACTCATTGTTGTGAAGGATTAATTAAAGCAGTTATAATGCTAAAAAATGATAAGTGGAAAGATATCATTAATAACCTCCCCTCATCCCCCCCAAAAGCATTTGATTAAACTTTAAATGTGAAAGTGAATAAATTTCTCACTGGATAAAAAGAAGGCAAACATTAAGTTATACTAAACAAAAACTTGAATTTAAAGAAATAGTTTTTAAAAATATACCTAAGTGCTTGGATGAGATCAATGATATACAGTTTCATGCTTCATCATTACAATTTTCTCCAAGAGTTAAGGAAATAAAGTGTTGCTAGTAACAGCCATTGCTTTTTAATTTATTATGCTTGTCAATCTCTGGACTAATTTTTCTTTTCTGGGTCATGCACTGTGTACATAAGTTATTAAACAGCCTTTATTTTCATAACCATTGGTCATAGATACTTCTAATTACAAAATTGTTTTAAAGAACACAAATCAGGGTTGCCACACTACCTTGGAAAACGCCAAAAAGTCAGGGAATTTCATATGGCATTCCCCTCCCCAAAAGCGATTTTTTACACCAATGTTGGAAGTGATCACTTTTCTTGATGCAGTATGCATCGCATGGGCATCATTCAGACAGCTGGTCTAGATCTAGTTTTCGCAGCTGCAATCGGATTGTCTTTTAGAAAGTTAAAAAGGCAAAGGAGTTTTCCAACATCTTTCGTTTCCAGTAACCTCGAGATTTGAGAGATTCGCATGCATAAGTGCAGTGCATGTTGAACAAAGGAAAATACCTTTCCATTCTCATATAAAACAAAGGCATTTCAATCCCAGTATACACAGAATTTGGTAACATTATAATGAGCAGTAAATTGGACATTTGTGATGAGCAGTAAACGGGTCATTTTGGTGTTGGCAACAATTTTTAAAATCATTCCAAAAGTGTAACATATACTAGGATTTTACCACAAAATCTTTTTAACCTTTTTTTTTTTTTTTTTTTTTTTTTTACAAATGGCTTATTTGTCATTGTAGTAAATAAAAAAATAGTATAGTCAGCTAGGCTAACCATTAATAAACTAACTATCTTCGTCAAATTCATGTTCTTGAATTCCATTTTAGCAAGTAATTGTTTTAATATGTATCATTTAATTTAATGTTGCTCTTCCCTCTAAATTTTTTATTATTATTTAAGAATACTTTCCAATCCAGGCCGTTTTCTCTAACATACTCCTGCAACTAATTTACATTATGATCCCATACACACGATTTATGCACATATTTTTTCTTATGTATTTGCTAAATAAATGAAAATACCTGTATTTTAAAATATCATTAAATAGATTTCTTTCTTTCATTTAGCTGCAGAATATCTCCAAAAAAGACATTTTTAATCCAATTTGGGCAGTTCTAATCTCAATCTTCAGTGGAGGAAACAACTGCTATTATAGTTATAATAGTAATGCATTGGGAAAACGATTTTGTCATTTGTAATTGGCAAATGTTTGTGTTTTCAAGTGTTACCATAATTAATTTACCTCTCAGCACAGCCAACGTGCATAACACACCTGGAAAAGTCTGGGAATTTCATTCTCCTGTTTGAGTGGCAGCTGCGATAAATATTCATGCTGCATTGTTTTTAAATTTAAAAATGAGTTTTGTGAAAATTATGAAAATTTGCTTTTTATTTGACATCTAATTCATGTAGTTACTTATATTTGTCCAAAGTTTATTCTCATTACAGAAAAACAAAATATTTGGCAATCTAAAATATTATGGCAGATAAATATAATCTTTTTAATCAGTTTGTTGACAAAAATATTGAATTTCAAAATCTAGGGCTTTTGAAGATTTTCAACTAAAAATAAATCTGTATTGCTTTTCCTTGTTAAAAATAAATTAGAATACTCAAGATTAATCTTTTCCCCTCATTTAGTAATTTTTGTGCAACATTCTTTAATTTATAATTTTGTTATATTCACTATGCCAAAAGTATTTTCCCACTAGTTCGTTAGTTTTCAAATGCTGAAAATACGTCAATAATATCCACTTGCAGCTTTATTTACTTTGAAATCATAGTGATACAAAAAAGGGGGTTAGAACAAAGGAAGATATTCTTCATTTTTAATTTATGCAAATAATGCTCGGTACTATGTGACAGTACTTGAAGCCTGTCTAGAAAAGGAATTTTATAAGAGAATCTGAATAAGAATCCCTTTTTAAAAAAAATCTGTATTGGTCAAAACTTTTCATATGATGTTCATGACTAAATTTTTAATATAAAACTTTTTATTAAACAAATATTTAACTTTTAGTTGTATAATATTTATATTTTTTAAAAATTTAAATAAACTGTATAAAAGTTAAATTTTTATAATTTTATTATTTTAATTTAAAACATTAAAACATTTTTGTAATTGGAGATCTATGACAAGCGGTTGCAAAAATAAAGGACACATAATGACTTCTGCGCATGCGATTTACATAATCTTATTAATCTTCAGGTGCTTCTTAGCATTACAAAAATAATCTTCATGCTGCAATGTGTTGTAAATTCATTTTTAATTAAAATTGTTCCTTGAACTTAAATGTTAAATATGAGGTACGCGTGAGTAGCACATGCCTACAAGAGTGTTGAAAACATTAACTAAAAAAGCATGCTTGATTGAGCTAGACATATGCAATTAATAAGAAAATTTAACATAGTGGGATACTTGTAATAGCATGAAAGACAGAGCAGGGACCCGACACAGGCACCGAAGTTTACTTATCCCGGTGAAGCACAAGACTGAAGTGTAACACCGGAGAAACCTTCTCTCCCCGTCAACTTGTAAGGTTGCCATGCAGATTTACTGTCTTCTGCCAGTTGGTGGTTTTCTCTAGAGTTTTTGAGTTTGTAGCGCCTGTTTGGTGCCGTCGATGCATACTCTCTTCGCAATGTCAATGAAATGTGACGTACCGATGCGGGGGTCGTATTGATCATCCAGAACGGGTGGTACAAATGTACGAAGGTCTTTTTCACACTCTGGGAAGCAACTTAAGAAAAGGCCATGGTTATAAAAGCTGGTTTCAGTCTATCTATGGAGATCGTTTGCTTAATCCCTTTTATTTCAAGATCAAACGTTTTTTCTCATCTTGCTAGTACTTTAAATGGTCCGTCATAAGGAGCTTGAAGTGTCTTCCTAACTGCATCATGTTGAACAAACACATGCGTGGAGTCGTTAAGGTGAGGATGAGCGAAACAGGATTTTAAATCCTCCAACTGTTTGGGGGACGTGTTCGTAGGTGTCAGATCGAAAAATTCTCCTGGGAGACAAATAGTCTTTCCTTATAAGTAGGGAAGGTGGTTGCCCCTATGTCCTCCTTGAGAGTGGAGCAGAAACCCATCAGGAGCGTTGGAAGGGCCGCCACACAGTGACTGGTATCATACGCTTTTAAGGCAGCTTTCAGAGGGCGGTGAAATTCCTCAATAAGTCCTGTGGGTGTTATGGAGAAGTTCTGATCCTCTTGATTCCCAATAATTGTGAAAGGGCTCAAAATAAGGCGCTTTGAAACTGTCGCCTTTGGTTAGTAGTAATAATAGCCGGACAACCAAATCTAATAATCTAGTGGTCTTAAGCAAAAATCAATTGTTCAAATTATTATTCTGCAAAAGTAATTCCTCATTGATTCTCTAATTACATGTGTGTTTATGGCTTTATTGCAGTCTAATCCTTTTAAAAAGGTGTAGCCAGCCAGTTGTAAAAATATTTTTAATATGGCTTGCTTGTGTATCTAATTTTGTGTAAATTCTTTCTTTCTTTCTTTTTTTTTTTTTTAATCAGTTTGTTAGTTTTAACATATGTTTAAGGTCTTTGCTGTTTTCTAAAATGTCTTTTATGTTTATTTTCAGAAATATAAAAATTGAACAATGTGAAATGGGACTTGAATACGGAAAAGAAAACAAATTGTCGTTGTATACAAAAGCTTGTTAAATATTAGTGCTATAGTTCATTTTCCCTTATAAATTTGCTCTAATATATATACATAAATATATATATGTACACATAAAACATTAGTAAAAATCTTTTCCTACATCTTTATCTTCTGGATTTATGGGAATTTAATTGTACGGAATCAAATGTTCTTTTTCTTTTTCCCCTCCTTGGCAAATCCTCTGTCAGCACCAAGGTCTTTCTCGCAAAGAGAGAAAAATAAATAAATAAATTGTATTTATGTGATATAGGAGCATGTAATAAAGTTTGATGGAGTTTAGCTATAACTTTTTCTTATGTTGCAAAATTTTGTTATTAAAAATTATGCATACCTGATTCAATACTTTTGCTGCCTTTGCATAGACTTGGGGTTAATACTGTGCATTATTTGTAATATTATATTTAAAACTGCACAACTGTTATAAGTTATAAAAAGTATATAATAATATAAACATATTTAATAGCAATTTTGATACTTCATAAGACAAATTTCGGTTTTGAAAATTTTACAAAAATGGAAGGTTGCTAAACAACAGGTGTTGCTTTATAATTTATAACACTGAATAATCTCTGGACTGCTTTTCTAATTTCTTGAACTCCATCATTTAGAAGAGGTACAATCTGTAAATAATTCACAGTATAAAATTTAAAATTAGCATACATTTTTACATAAGTTTAAATTAAAATGCAAACCATATATTGCATAATATATATTTGAATATATTTTGAAGCTAAATTTTTAATGTACATTTTAAAATATTTTATTTTTTGGATTTGTTATCAGTTTTAGGTAATGTTAAAATTCTGGATATGTCTTCAAATATCAGTCTTCTTTATTTGCAACATGGTTTATTTATTTGCAACCCCCTGAGTGGCATGACCACCTTTTTTCATTCATGAGAATTTTTTTTTTTTTTCACTTGGTATATATTCCCTACAATTTAAAGTATTTTTTGTAAATATCATCTTAATGAATAGAAATTCTAGAAAATAGAGACTGTAAAGTCTTCATGGATGATGCACAAATAACATCAGAAATCCTCATCATCAGACCAGATGATGAGAACATTTAAATACTTTAAAAAATTTCTTCAGGAAATGTAAAACTCATGGACTGAAATTAAATTTAGAGAAAAGTAAATTTTTTCAGGAAGAGATACAATTTTTAGGTCGTAAAATTGATGCTAATGGTTTACGTAAAACTGATGAAAAAATATCAGCAATTGCAAATGCTCCAAGACCCAGAAATGTTCAGGAAATTCAAAGTTTTTTTTGGGGATTGGTTAATTTTTAAGGAAACTTTTGCCCTAAATTAGCAACAATTAGCAACAATCAATTCTCTTATACCAATTAACTAAGAAAAGCTCAAAATATATTTGGACGAAGGCTTGTTAAGAAGCTTTTTTAAATATTAAAAAAGAATTGTGTTTACAAAAAGTTTTGATGCATTATGATCCAAAATTGCCCTGAACATTGGCAACTGATGCATCACCAGTGGTTTTAGGTGTGGTACTTTCTCGCAAACTTCCTGATGGAACAGAAAGGCCAATTGCATATGCTTCTAGAACACTGACTGAAATGGAGAAAAAATATTCTCAAACCGATAAAGAAGCCTTGTCAATCGTTTGGGGAAGTAAAAAATGTTTTCTGTACTTAAAAGGCAGGAAATTTACATTAATTACAGATCATAAACCTCTTGTTCAATTTTCGTCTCAAGGGCATGCCAGTTTTGGTAGCAACAAGACTCCTGCATAACACTTTGGCTTTACAGTCATTCCAATTCAACATTATTTACCGTAAAACAATCGAGCATGGCAATGCTGACTTTCTATCACGATTACCAATGAACTCAGAGCAACTGTATTCAGGATGATGTAACTGTTTTTCAATTACAGCGGATTGAAACTCTCTTCCAATCGCTGCCAGTGATTTGGCTAAAGAAACTGAAATTGATGCAGAACTCAGTCCTCTGCTACAAATACTTCAAAGCAGTGGTGAATTGAAAGGAATGGAGATGGAGTATAGGCTCTAAGAAGGTTGTATAATGTATGGTCAATGCGTTTGTATTCCAGAATGATACTGTGAGAATGTTTAGAAAGAATTTCATCACGGACATTTAAGGACTGTAAAGCAAAAGCAGTTGCTAGATCTTATGTATTTTGGAATGGCATAGATAAAGATATCGAACATACTGCTAAAAACCGTTCTGAACATAAAAATAGTGTGTAAAATACTGTGCAAAACATAAAAATAGATCCTCCTAAGGTAAAAGTTCATCATTGGGAGTACCCGAGTGCTCCAATGGAACGTATTTATATTGATTATGCAGGATCTATTTTTGAGCATATGTTTTTGATAATCCTCGATGCTCACTCAAAATGGCTAGAAACCTATCCAATGAAATCAAGCTCGACTTTCAAAACAATAGGATGTTTACGGGATTTTTTTGCACAATTAGGATTACCAATATTGTTAGTCAGTGATCGCGGGCTATAATTCACTTCAGTTTAAGATATATCATCTATATAAAAATCTTAGCTTGGGGAAATTATCCCAAAAGAGGCATCAAAATAAAAGTATTTTAATATTATGTATGAAATTATCAAAAATGCATAAATTCAGTTTAAGATCTTTAGCTGACTGTAAAATATATCTAGAAATCACTTCACTTGTTAATTTATTAATACTGAATTAAATTAAATATTTCTGTCAGCAGTATGTTGTTCGGAGGATTTCCCTTTGATACCAAGTAATACACGATACATTATACACTTGTAATGAGAACTGTAAAAAACACATTATGAAATTGAGATCAAATCAAACTTATCAATCACATTGAATTTATAAATTAAAATGTAGTTATGCTATTTTAAATACATTTTAATAGACTAGTTTCATTTTTAAGCACAGTGAATGTTTTTGAATACCTATTAATTTATATCGGAATTTTAACAGCAGGCCATGTATTTCGAGGTGTCTAAAATCTATTAATTTATATTTCTTATTTTTCTTTTGAGAACTGTGTATAATTTTATTCTGTGAGGAAGTCTTCTGTCTTTACTAGACTAAAATAGTGCTTCAATGCTGTCTGACACTTCTGTATGAAATTATTTGGTTTCAGAGTGAAAATGGTAAAGTTTTTGAGTGAGGGTCATATATTTATTGAAACAGTTATTATAGTGCTGTTCTTTGGAATAAATGCCCTTCTTTTAATTGTTTAAAAATACTTAGATTTGTGCCAGTTTTGCCTTTAAAATTCATTTTACACTTTAAATTTTACTGATTTTTTATTTTCATAAAAATATCAAATATGCACATGAATCAATATGCAAATATGGGCATGAATATATACTTTTAACAGCTTCAAAAAATTAATAAATATTCCTGTGATTTAATATATTTCAAATGAAGTAGATAAATGTGGAATATTTTTAAAAATAGGCAATAAACGTATGGTATGTTTGAATGAGATTTCTAAATTTGATATATGTAGCACCAAAGAGAAAGATTGTACAGTAAAATACGAGGGCCATCCAGGAAGTAGATTACGTTTCCGTCTGTCTCCGCTAGGGGCGGGGCTAGCGCGGCCATCTTGGGGTCAGAGCGTTGCGCAGCTCAGTCTGCATCTAGCCATGCTAGTGAGAGGTTCGTGCTGTGCTCCGTTCAGATACTGTGACGGTTTGAAATGTCTGCGTTAATTGAAAATCCCAGCTGCGAGGTGCGCTCAGTAATAAGGTTTCTGACTGCAAAAAACTGTAAACCGATAGAAATCTATCGGCAGCTTCGTGAAGTGTATGGGGACAACATTATCACTGAAGGTGGAGTGCGTCAGTGGGTCATAAGATTTCAAAATGGCCGAACCAATGTTCACGACGAAGATCGAAGTGGGAGACCCAGCATAGTGACCGCCGAACTTCTCGAAAAAGTCGATGCTAAAGTCCGTGAAAATCGAAATTTCACAATAACGGAACTTTCTTTCGAGTTTTCCACAAATTTCGCGAAGTTTTGTTGCACGAAATCATCAGCGAAAAGCTTGGTTACCACAAGTTTTGTGCAAGATGGATTCCAAAAATCTTGACAGAGGACCACAAAAATCAGCGAATGGCTGCAGCGTTGAACTTTTTGGACGCTTACCATAAGGATGGTGACTCTTTACTCGATCGCATCGTTACTGGTGACGAAACATGGGTGAAACATGTGAACTGTGAAACGAAATTGCAATCAATGCAGTGGGGAGCACACAAGTTCTCCCCAAAAACCCAAGAAATGCATGCAAACAATGTCGGCAAGGAAGATGATGGCGACTGTTTTTTGGGACAGAAAAGGTGTAATTTTGGTGGACTTCCTGGAAAGAGGCACTACAATAAACTCTCAAAGGTATTGCCCAACTCTCCAAAAACTCAGAAGAGCAATTCAAAACAAGCGCAGAGGAATGTTGAGCTCTAAGATCTTGTTGATTCACGACAACGCCCGGCCCCACACGGCAAATGTCACTCGTAAAGTTCTTGAATCTTTTAAGTGGGAGTTGTTTCCTCATCCGCCGTACACACCCCCGACCTGGCACCGAGCGACTTCCACCTATTCCCAGCAATGAAAAAGTGGCTGGCTATGCAGCGTTTTGATGACGACGCACAGCTGCAAGAAGAGGTAACGAAGTGGTTGAAGGCGCAGGCGGCCGAATTTTTCGACGAAGGAATTTCCAAGCTCGTACATCGCTACGATAAATGCCTTAATTTGTATGGTGACTATGTAGAAAAGTAGTATTTTGAGTGTGGCTTTCATCTGTATATAATAAAATTTGTTTCCTATACTTTGTTTAGTTTTTTTTATTCCAAAACGTAATCCTTACTTTCTGGATAGCCCTCGTAGAATATATATATACATATGATAAAAATATAATTTATATATAGGAATTTTGCACATAGCTAAAACATCTTAGCTTTTCTTAAAAGAAGTAAACATGAGTTGCCCAATAAGCATCTTGTATTTTAATACATATATATTTTTCAAAATGGTTTTGTTATGGGAAACTGAAAAAAAGTATTTCATACATCTGCAGTGCATTTATTAGTCTGCATTACTGAAGAATGTTTCAAATAATGTGTTTTTCTACTGTATGATGTGTGACTAATTCTGTTAATTTCCTGGAGAAATGAATATCTGTTTTGCTACATTCTAGTTTTGACACTGGTTTCTATTCAGTTGATATTTTTTATTGCTGATATATAAATGTTTATGAGATATGTGAAATAGATTCATCTAATTTAAAGAGTATACACACTTTCTGAAAATTTCCAGTCATAATTTTCCTTCCTGGGGGTGCTTCACTCAGTGCTGTCAGGATCCAAGTTCATGTCAATATTTTTTTTACAAATTCCTTCGGGAATTTTCTGAGATTCTCTATAAGAACAATTTTCCAATTCTTCTTCTCTGTATTATGAGGAAGCGTCACTTTCAGGCAATATTCAACGAAATATCCAAATAAAACGAATGCAATTTACGATGTTTTTGCTGATATCTTACGTAAGGACAGAAGGACTCTTTTTCCCCTAATCTATAATTTTTATTATTTGTGCTTCTTAATTCTGAAGAGAATTTTTGTGTGGCTCTGTACGAAACGTATCTCGTGAAAGTTGAATTTGTATAGGACTGCTATAACATGTAGATGTGCACCTCGTATTTTGGTTGCAATCGGCCGCACCAAACGTATATAAATATTTATATATATCCGCTCTGTTACCCGGGCCGGTGATCTCAGTTCTTTACTCTTATATGTTTGTAAAATGTATATTTTTGCTTTAAAAATGATTGAATTATGTTGTTTTTATCTTCCGGTTAAGGTTTTTATGCCTTTCGTAATTCTGGAAGCAATATTTGTACAATTATCAACAATTTAAAAGCTGTTTAAGTGCGGTTAAGTTTTAAATAACATGGCGGACATATTTGTTTACATTTGAAACAGCAGAATTGTAGATTTGTTGCCAATCTAGAGAGACTAAGCTTCGCAACAAAAAAATAACGCCTTCATTTATCATTGCGAATTAAATCGTGCTTAATCCTTTCTGGAATTTTTTCGAGAAAATAAGTGTTTAAGATTTACTTCGTAATTTTTAATGCAGATATTTTGAGATTTTATGTATTTTTGCCTTGTCGCGAAGTGAGAACTGAATTAATCGAATGAGAAATACTAAATCGTCTGTGAAAAACTGTTTCTTTTCTGTTTTGTTTGCTTAATTTCTTTCATGCATCGTTTTAGCTTTATTATAGTATTTGAATAGAATATTGAGCAACGATAATTCTTCAAATGATATAAATTTTGTGCATTCAGAGTGTCGTTATAGTAAACAAATATAATGAATTTTAAAGAGTGCATTTATTTTATTGTGGTTTATGCGCTGTCGACGAAGTAGATTTAATTCAATCCAATCAAGTTAAATGAAATTCAAGGAAAAAATGCGTATAATTTAATATTCCATACAAGGAAGTCATGTGGTGTATGCATGAGATTTTTTATTATTATTATTTGAATGGATCAAATTTTATATCATCATTTAGAAAGACACAACAGAACCCTATTTATCTGAATTAGTTTGGACTGAAGCGATATCAAGTAACTAGTCCGTATCGACATGGCCTCATTTCAGCAGTTTCCAGAATCTTTTTTAAAATTTAAATACATGAGTATTTACAAAGCTTTCCCATTTTTAAAATATGTTTATGAAATAAATTCGATGTATAATTCTGAACCGTACAAATCTTAATTTTGGTCAGCATTAGTTGTGGCCTATTGATAATTTCCAAATTCTTTTATGTATATGCTGAGAAACTTAAAATTTATTAAAATTTTTTTGGCTGTTTATTCACTTTTAGTGCATTGCTTAATTTATGCAATCCTTCGGTGAAAGAATACCTAAAAAGATCATTTTGTGACATTAAGATTTTATAGTTCTTTATTTTTGCAATAGTATACTACGCACGTGCTGATGTTACAAAACATTTGAATAATGAGGCAATGCCAAAAAATGATTATTGTTCCTCTCTCTGACATTAGTTTCTTTTAACATTTTATTGGAATGGGGTTATACAAGAATATACATAACAGCATTATTTAGTGTATTTAGGAGGTTGAAAAAATTAAATGCTATTGGAATGATTTTGGTTCAGTGCTTTGTTCGGAGCACATACAATAAAAAAATCCTGAAATGTTATTCCAATCAGGTAAATAAACTGACACCATGTGTAGTAATGGTTCTCCAAAGTAACATTCGCAGTACCAGATTTGTAAAGAAAATTGCATAGTCAATGGGATAAATGGAAGTAAACTTGCAAAAGTAAGGGGCATTTGAGAAGAATATTTGTGTCTGTCAGTAATTACAGTTGAGGTGCCAAAAAAGAACCTGATAATGAGAAAACAATCCCTGCAAAGTACAAGGTTAATTAAAAGTGCACACATATCAGACAGCAGATCATAGTACATTCTTACATCCAGTGAAAAATTCAAACATATATTGTGATATGCATAACATTGCATTATTGAATAATGGGATGGACGGCGATTGTAAATACCCACAAATGTTGTATATTATGTCTTGCATAATTTATCTTACCGCAAGTATCCCCTCCAGGTGTTGACACAGGAAAACCAGTGAAGCTACTGGCTAGGATTTGTACTTAGGCAGTCTCAACTGTGGGAGTATAAAACCATGAGCCTCACGGTTCTCCATAACCTATGGGCGTAAGCAAGTAATCATGACTTCGATTTAAGGGGTTACATGGGTTTCATCCGAGTAAAAACGGCGTATTTTCAAGATTTTTTTTCATATAATAAATGAAATATTTAATTCAGTTTTTTTTTATTATCTTAAAGGTACATATTTAATAAACAATTTTTGAAAAAAACTCCGCCATTCTGACGTCATTCCCAACGAGCCCTCGGAAAAAAGGTGCATTCGCGTTGACAGCAGAACTCCTAGCAGGATCATCTGAAGTGAAAAAAATAATCCGTGTTTTAGTTGAAGGCTTCAAACTAGAAATTGGACGAAGAAAAAAATAAATGAAAATTAAATGTTTGACAGCGGTTTTTACATAAAAATGCAAAATTCGATAAAAATTTCATGGCATTTTGAAAAAAAAAAAAATCCTTCGTCCAAGTCCTTGTAAATTGTATCTTGAGAGAAATTAATCCTTCGTCCAAGTCCTTGTAAATTGTACCTCGAAGACCTGTTTAAAATTTCATCGAGATCGGTAGAGTAGTCTTCGAGAAATCTTGACAACCAACTTTAAAAACATAGTTTTGAGAAAAACGCATTTAAAGTTTTGCTGCTCAGGATTTTTAGGATTGAATGACTGTCTCCGTTTCTTGGGTCGATCTTTTCTACGAGCACCGTCCCTTAATTGAGATCTTGAAACTTTGGGCATTTTTAAATATAATTTACTTTAGACACTTATAACCTCAAAATAAACCTCTTGGTTCAACAAGTGATCACCAAATGAAGTATTTCAACTAGTTGCCCTTAGAAAAAGAGAAAAGTAGCCATAAAGGACAAATGAACAATAGGCGAGCAGCTGCTCTTTTATACCTGCGGCAAGCAGAGCCCAGGTAGCCTTGAGCGCGCCACTTCAATAGGCTGTATCTCTGAAACTATTACTCGGATCAACTTGAAATTTTTGGACAATATTCGAGAGATGTTGTAGATTTTAATAATAAAAAAAAATCGATTTTTTGAACCTGTAAAACCCATGTAACCCCTTAATTTGAGTGGCCGATAGGAATGAGCCCAGTGTTAGTCCCATGGTGGGCATCAGGCATCCCATGTAGTACTGGCGATTAGCAGTTTTGTCAACCAGTCAGATCACTAGGCGGGCATGTTACCCACTGCTGTGAAACTTGGGAACAGGGAGTGGTGACCCCCATGCACCCAAGGGATAGCAGTCGCTATAGAGAATCTTTTTAAATATGCAGTCTTGGATTAGGGCCCTGGGGCAGTAGCATGATTAGCGTATATTTCACTGCTTGGAAAACTGGTGACCCTGATATGGGCACTTCTCAGTTGGGACCAGTCAGTGTAGTATCAGACAGTGCACAAAAGACAAACATTATTATTATTCAAATTGATGATCACTGTATCTCTGGCTTATGAATTGTCCGACATGTTCAAAGATGCCTGTTGCTGAAAGTTTAAATGTATGCTGTAAACTCCTTTAAGGTCTTATGACTCCTCATATTCCTATGACTTCATAAGAAGAAACTGATGGGTTTTCATCACTTGCATCAGTCACAATCATGAGTTCTCTTAATTCATCCAGCCAGGAATGGCATTATTTTTAAGTCTCATATTTAGTTATTACCAAAACAATTCCATAGTTGTTTTTTTTTTTTTTTTTTTTTTTTTCTGTAACTTAATGTGCCATCACTTTCATGATAAGGTACATTTATGCAGTTGCCTATATGCTTGACATCAGTATTTTTTATGTTCAGCCCAGAGTTAGCTATTTTCCAATCAGCAGAGAAAATTGGCTTGTGACACAATAGGATCAGAGTTTTTGTTACTAACAGCAATAGTGGAAAGTATCATTCTTCGTAGCATCCGTAGACAATGAAACAACTGCAAAGAGCATTCTTAATTGTTTGGTAACATTAGTAGACAATGAAACAACTACCAAGAGCATTCTATTTTACTACTCGATTAAAAATGGAGGCATGCATTGCATGCTGTAACTTCGTTGCATTGCTCCGCTACCAAATAAATACCCAGTGAGAAATGTAAAAGATCTTCACACTGGAAATTTTAAGTTTGAAAGATAAAATGTTTGATGTTCGACCAAAATGGTTAAATTTCTTTAAACGCTTTACTACAATGAAAATCAGATGACGGGTAAGTGATAATAATGATCATAAAAGATGAAAATCAGAATTGAGTTTTTTCATTACTATGTTTAACTTTTAAATATTTCCCATGAAAAAAGTAGCAGGTATGACAGAAAGAGGTATAATTATTAACTGGATTATCCACTTATATATTTTGAAGAACTATTCAGAATTTTGATTAATGTAATAATCACGAAACACATAAATCCCTTTACATATTAATTAAAAGAAGTCGTTTTTTATGATGTCACAAATCTTGAGAAAAATTTGCAGTTAAACAAGGTGACTGAAAAGTCTTCCACTCTTGAATTCTCAATTTTTCTGGAATATGTATATAAATCTACTGACATAGAAATACATAAAAGTGAAAACAGCATAAATAGGCAGTTAAAATATAACAAAGATATGTGCAAAAAGTCATTTTAAAGGAAATCGAAATCGAATTTGGAAAGAATCGCTTCACCCATTGCTTTGTAATCAACAAAGAATGCATGTACAAAATGTAACGTGGTATCTTATGACGAAGTAGATTAAAAATTGATGTCAAAATTCAGAGCATAGAGTGAACTAAATAAAAGCTCATAAAAAGTAATCACATCATGAACTTCAAACAGAGATTTGTTAGAAATGATCATTTAAAAGAGAAATTGTGTTACTTATGCTAATAAAATAAAAATACCTTTAGTGAGTTCAGGCGTATTTCTGTCCTGCTGCTGTTTAAGAGAGGCAGAATTTTATTTATAGCATTTTTCTCGATAGCTATGAACCTTGCAGGAGTTGCAATGGCTATCCTGCAAGAAATAATTATTTTTATTAATAACGTAGTTTGTTGTTTAACATATGAAATATAAAGCCAAATGCAGAAAATAACTGTTATTTGATGGAAATTTATTTATTCTCAAAAATTAAACGAAACCTCTCAGTAAGAGCACCTTTGAAAATGACCAAAATATTTCTGAAAACATAATTAAAGAATGGTGTACCAATACGTGTTTTCTTTAAAATGGATATCGTTCATTCAAAATATTTGGGATTATTCAGAAGAATAATTGTTTAGTGTAATATTTTTGCTTTGTCACAAAATATAAAACAACGAATCACCACAGATCCCTTTGAGGTTACCAAGAAAGAGAAAAACTGATCTCAATTATGACGAAGAGGAATTCGGTGCTGATAGTTGAAAAGGAACAACTTGGTTTTTAAGCAAACGGAAGGTAAACATGATGCGTCCTTCTTTCAGTGGTAAATTCGGTAGGAAAATTGTTTGAAGCGGTGCAGATAGCGTATTAGCTATCTCCTGGTAACTTCTTAGTGATCGAATCTAACTTTAGAGAGCCTGAATACGATGATTTATCTGATAGCTTTGACGATAAATCAAAACAATCAAGTAAGAAAGTGATTACGAAATTCAACATTAATGATTTTATCAAGTACTTTAAAGCGAGTGAAGTTTCAAAGCCAAGAACGAGCAGAATAAGAATTCACATTTCTCAGGGATGTCGGCAGAAATGAAGCACTGCCATCTGCCTTGCCAAACATAACATATACAGCGGAAGAAAATCAACGGACACAAAGCGTCGGTGAAAACTCATCCGAATTCGAAAGATGTAGTTGCAATGCTACCTGAGACAATCTTCTACCGGGATTGATAAACGCATTAGCGCAATACATAGCTGTAGAAAGAAGGCAACAGGAGGAGGACATAGGAAGTAACAATGAAGAAAACAGAAGCAACTGAGCCAATGTAGTGGAAAATCAAGGCTAACAGCAGAAGGAAGGTGAAATGGAAGACTTCTACAGAAAATGAAAAAATTAAATGGCAGTCATCGAAGGACTCACCGCTAAAAGAAGATAAAATTGAGAATCTTGAAATAAAAAGCAATACAGTCAAAAGTCGTTAATTCGGACACCCATAATCCGGAATGATCTATAATCCGGACCTCAAAGCTAAAAACTTTCTGCGCATGCGTCGCGTTGACGCATGCGCGTAAGACCTTTACGGCTGCGAATATGCGTGTGCGCATGCGCAAAATACGTTTACGAATGGGCGTTTAATGTATAACGGACGGTATAAGCTAAGCTAATATTATCTAAGTCAGTTAATGTTGCAGATTGCGTTGTTCCTTAATCTTCGAATTGGATCTGGCTTATTATTTTTTGCAGACTGTTAGAGCAATTTTATAAAAGTAAGCTTGAACTTTCGATTATGTCAAGTAGAATTTCTGATACATATTTACTAATATGTAAAGGATCTACAAAGCGAAAGTATGTTTTGAAGTCCATTAAACAAAAAGTGAATTCCTGCAAAAAAGCAAAGGCATATCCTTTGTTTATCTAACCATTCCGAAATCTGTTTATCAATTTCATGCTGCTCTGCGTGTGTGGGGGGGGGAAACATCGCGGCGCGCAATGAACTGGAAGTTAATCTGTCAGCACTATCCTTATCTTCAGGGCAGATGTTTTTATTTTATTTGGCTTATAATTCCTTACTGAATGTAGTATTTCATCTCGAGTACTCCGTCTTTGATATGATTTAAATCAAATTCCCCGTCATTATAATTTGCATCCGATAGCGAAGAAAGTGACACAGAGGTTATTGAAAACGAAAAAATTTCGATTGACAAATTAGTCAGTATTCTCGACACAGGAATTATAGGACTTGAACAGCGGAACTTTGTAACTGAACAAGAAATTATGTCTGTTGTTTATAGAAGTAAAGAGAAAGTATTATCACATAAAAAGCGAAGCAACGTAAACAACTTACATTGAAAGAAATACTAATTCAGAAGACAAACAACAAAAATCAGCGTTATATTTACAAAATACTGTGGAAATTTTGTAAATATAACGCTGATTTTTGTTGTTTGTCTTCTGAATTAGTATTTATTCGGCGTGTTATTATGTCTTAATTATTAAAAGAAATGTTTAATAAAGTAAACAAATAAATATTAACCTCTTTTTTTTTGTAAATTTTGATACCCTTTAGATGATAATTGTTCTTTATTTCATAAATTACGGTTTCATATTTAATTTTATAATTTCTGCATGCCATCTTACCAGATTTAAACTGATGATCTATAATCCGGAAAAATCGGTAATCCGAAATCGCTGAAGTCCCGACAAGCCTGGATTAACGACTTTTGACTGTATCCCCAAAACTGTTGTAAAGATACTCCTGCTGGTAATAACTGGTACGGAATTAATAATATGGATGTAGAAATTACAGGGCTGTGCAAGGATAAACTCAAAGCCTCCATGAAAAGAGATTCCTCCTTCTTTTTGAAGAATGCCAAAGATTACAGAAACAAATCCAACTTTACCCCTATCTGTTCAGAACCGAGAAGACAGTAAAAGCGGTACTCAAAATTTTCACAAAAGCATTTCAGAGGAGAAATTTAAGAAAACTTAAATTCTAGGAATTATTCAGTGCTGAAGGTAAAGCAGTTTACCATAATCAGAGATGATCATATGGAAACACTGCCGATATTCATAGGACTGCAGCAGGAAAAGACATTTCAGTCATACAATACCCTTAGGAATAAATGTTCTCATCCAACAATTGAAGCTCAGGAAAATACCGAGCCAGTGCTTCAAATACCCAACATTATGGGCAGCATTTGTGTTTCAATACTCCAAGGTCTGTGAAATGTTTTTTAGAACGCAAAAGCAGTTATGTCTTCTGAAAAAAGATGACAAACCCACCTATATACTTTCAGCGGCTCCCATATAAGCAGTTTCAGAGGCTGCTCAGCAAACAATAACATTTTATATCGAAGACAAAAGCCCAAATTCCAGACCTCAGAAGTAAACCCCTGAAAATCTGAAGGAAATATCTCTCCTCTCCTAAAGAAATTCTACAAGGTCGCCCGAACAAAAGAAATTACCCAGACATTTTGACGAGCGGACTGTTTCTTCTAGTTCTTTTTGTGGACTTCAGATTCACAAAAAGAACTAGAAGAAACAGCCTGCTATCTCAACATCAGTAGTAGTATAAGAAAGTATATTGTAGATGCTATTACATTTGCAGAAAATGAAAAATTTAAATGGCACTCATCGAAGGACAAAGAAAAATATACCAGAGGAGTGTTGGATATCAGCCAATCAAATAAATTTTCATCGCTAAAAGAAGATAAAATTGAAGTAGAAGAAATTAAAGTAGCAAGAACCAGGGTTTAACTCCTAAAATTGGAAGTGCTGAAGCCCTATGAAAGATCATCAGGAAAGAGAAACAAGAATAAATAAATAAATTGATAATTAAATAATTAATTATTAAAATGGCTAATGATTAGAATAGTTATATAATTAAAATTTAACAAAATGTAAAAAGACAAATAATAACAAGTTATTAAATAATAAAATACTGGACCTTGACTTATTTGGAGTTCTGGCTGGAATTACAATTTCCCTCAAAACTAAGAAATAACTCTACCGGTTCCCGGTTGAATTTAATCTCTGAATATACTAATGTACTATTTCAATTGATGATAGAAATAAATATCATTCTTCTTTCACAGATGCCAATTAAAATGGTTAAATTGGTCACTAGTGAGACTAGAGAGAACAGTAACAGAGTGTAGAGAAAATTTTAACGAGAGGGTGTATAGGTATGAAAATAGAAAGAGAAGACTAACATTTTCTGACCATGATCTCCTGTCAATATAATTCTAGTTATCAAGTAAAAAATGAGTGGGGAACAAATTTTCTTCGAACCCGTGGGTTAGCTAAGGAAAACGTAACAAGGGACGATATTTGTCCTCCGTCTTCGATTGCATCGCTCCAAAAAGTCTGCAGATGCTCTTTTCCGCGGGAAGACTAGCGTTGGAGTGAAAAATTTACTCGCTGCCATAAAGTCGTACTTTTTGGAGAATAAACCTTTGGCATGTGGGTGGGGGGGGTTTTCTTCCCTTAAATGTCTCTACCTCCATTCAAGGGTTTGTTTCCCAAGGAAAGAGAGGCGAGGCATTTAGAAGTGACGATCAGTTTTTAATATAATTTTATTATTAAAGAAATTTAGAAAAAGATCTGAAAGCTTTCAGATTTTATATTATGCCCAAAGGGGGGGGCGTTTTTTAACGTTTTGTGTGTTACCTCTATTTATTAAATATCATGTTCTTCACATTGCTGGCTTTGAAATCCTTGAGTTTCTTAATCAAAAACTTATAAATGCTTTAAAAAATATGAACTAGATATTAAAACAAATTCCAAATTTGGGCTTCCAGTTGCCCATATTCGGGTGGAAAGGTACGTTATTCAAAATTTGATGGCTCTAGATACCGTCTTTTATCACAGTGCGAGAAACATATATACATTTATGCAAATTCTTCATGATTTAATTTCTTTAACTAGATTACAGGTCTCTAATATTTGGTGGCAACAATTTGAAAATGAATCAATGTTTATAGTGAATCGACGCAAAATGTCAAAACGAAACTAATAGTCCTTCTGAGCAAATTGCCCTTTTGGACTAATAAAACTTTTGTGGTCTTCTTTTTAATTTTTACCAAAATTGTTGTTCATTTACATTAAGAACTGCCAGAGCCTTCTTACTTAGGGCTCCAGTGAGCTCCGGTTAGAATTATGATTTATCCCAAAAACTAAGAAGTATCGGAATCGGCTCAATTTAAGCTCTGGCAAGACTCTTTGAACCTTTACAGGCAAGCCTGCAGATAGGTTGAATGTAATGAAAATCTTGATTAAATTCGCTTTAATGGAACAGCTCTACCCGACGAGACGGCTCCTGACCTAAGCTGTCCTGTAGGACAACGAACAGGATGGTGCCATCCCACGGATG